AGAGAAAACTGATCAGATAATTCAATATAAGAATGAGAAACAGAGAGGAGGGAACTTTAAGCAAGCATGCCCCAGTAGAAGCAACACAGTATTTCAAAAATCACTTCTGAGAATAACTTTAAGTGGGAGATAAAAATATGATCAAAAAATAATCAACACAATTTAAAACAAATTTAGAACCAAATCCCTAAAAAACATATGCTTAGATACATGTTACCTCTATTTGAACCCCAAGCATCTGTCAATTCTCTTAAAACATTTCTGCAGAGGAAGTGTTCACTAACTCATCTATCTTCCCCCACTAATGTAGACTTGGTGTCTTAACTGCTTTTGTATCACACTTTGCTCTTTCAAGCAATAACAATTTCTTCTGATGATTTCAGATACATCTTTCCTTGTGAAGTAGGCTGTCTATTTTACTTTGCTTTATTAAAGACTAATGTGGCTGCTGAATGCCATGAATATAGCACTAATTTTAATGAATACCATGAAGTTTATATTTAATTATATTTTCTCATTTTGGGTTCTAACCAATAAAGAAAAAAAACTTACCTATACAACATACACACACACACGATAATCACATGATCACACGCTTAAGTAGAATTTCTTGTTTTTTAAATTAAGAGCAGAGGAGAAGCATCTTTTTTCTTTTTATTTTATAAGAATTTTCATTGGCGTGTGCTATTTTCATGTTTTTAAAATTTAACTTAATCCTCTAAACATTAAAATGACCCAGGAATCATAATTTCTAATGTGAAATAAGAAGGCAAACAGACTACCGCTTTATTTTAACTTCCAACACCAAGAATAAAACTGGTCAGTCCAAAATAAAGAAATAGCAACAATAATTTGCCACCTACTGCTAATATTTAGTATTTTGTCCCAAACCAATGGTTTATTTTTGCTATACTAAGGTAAAGGACCAGGTTGACAATAAAGTATTCTTCTGTCTCTTCGATCCACACCAGCTGCACATGCACTTTTCCTTCCGAGTCCATGTAGTCAACATAGTATGTTTGTCCCAAGAAATTAGGACCATCAGAGGGCCTGGGAGAAGATCTCATGCAAACCGGGGAACTAAAACACCAAAAAGGTTTCCCATATTCGTCCAAAAGAGTTATGTCCATTATAGAACAACTCTACAAAATAAACACAAATATTTACAAATGTAAGGATAAAATGGACAATTAGACACGATTTTCAGATCTAATTAATAAATGTACAAATGAAGGCTTGTCATAAAGGATGAACAAGAGTTAAGTGAAAGAGAAGGGAGAAGAGAAAAGAGAACAAAATTACAGGAAGAGGGAACAATATACATAAAGATCTCGGAAGACCACGACAGGTTTGCAGTACTAGAAATTACTCAGCATGGGGTCAGGTCAGCTCTGTCCACCATCGTACCTTTGCCACCTGCCACGGTAACCGGTGCCAATAAAGGCACGTCAGATAAACAAACGGGAGGAATACAATGGGGGTAGGAGCAGCAAGAACAGCCACAGGGATGTCAGTTATCATTACACACTAGTAAAGACATGATAAAAGCCCTCAATCAACAGCGGCGGTAACTCACAGGAAAGAAGAGATGGAAGAAATATTTAAAAGACAAACTGAGCAGGATCAGTGGGTAGATAACCTCTGCTGGGCTTTCTGAACTCTATCTACAGTCTCAGCGGATACCCAAATCCCTGCTTCACAGGGCACAGGGGCCATCTCCTCCTCACTTCTTTTGGAACCTCGCTGCCTACTCCCCATCCTGTCTGAGAGGTCTCCTTTTCCATTTGGTTCCTTCTCCATAACAAATCATTTCCATCCTCAGGGGAGAGGTAGCAGATAAGGCATAGGGGTATTTATTTTAGGACCTCCCTCAAACCTTCGTCCCACTCACCATCCATCTTTCTCCTCGAGAGATGTATGTTTCCAATTATCCTTTCCAAATCAATCCCTTCTCAGTGTGAACTTCCAGAATGTAGACAGCTAAGCAGTAAGCAGAACTCACCTCCCCTATAGCAGTAAATCAGTTTTCCTTACCTGCACCCCATCTATAAATGAACTCTGCCAGACTCAAAATTCAGTGTCTGGGGAGAGGATGACACTCGCACACATGGGAATGTTGTATTTCTTAAGAGGCATCCTCATATTTAATCACCCATTTCACTACAGTACGCATCAGCGAACTGGCCACAGCACCTTTCTTATGGGGGGGCCGGGCACAGCCACCACAACAAGTTGAACCTGTAATATGGCCATCAGTAGGTTCTACTGAACTCAACTATTCTCGAATAAAGCAGAACCCCAGAGTTATACTAAAATATCTAGCTTAAATTAAAATTGATGCTGAGCTCCATATAGATTTAGAAGTAACATTAAAATAACATCAAAAAATGCCAAAGTATGAAAGAAAAAATAAAAGGAGAAAGTACAAGAAAAGCCTTACCAAAAGAAACTCCATCACTCAGCCCTGTGCAGGGACTGAGGGCAGACAGACCGGGAGAGCGCTTATTCTGAATTAGACTGAGGGCTGCAGCACGGCTGCCACTCCAGCTACTCAAAATGGCTTTGCACAACAGCACGCTGACCAGTCAGAGCAACTGTCCTGTGTGCGCTCACTACTAACATCAGCCACTGCAAGCGTCTCTAAACGTAGCTGATATCATAACCTGACTTAAAAAAAAACACAAAGAAAAAGCTGATCTGCTTATAACACGATTTTTTTTTATTTTAAAGTTGGATAATCTACCCTACAAAATTATAAGTTGTTGAAATTAAGACTCCAGGAGCTCAAGCTACAGACACTTCTGATCTGAGTGACCTCTGTGCCAGTGAGTGCTGGCTGGAGGTCACCACACCTCTACGCTCCTCTGAAGGAGAAGACTCTTCTTGAAACAGTAAACCAGAGGACCTCAGAGACCCCTTTCCTGACCACACATCGCTTCAAACAACGTAGTGCAGCAGGCAGTTCCTCTGTCATTGTCACTAACGTCACCTTTCCATCTTTTTGTCCCTTGACCAGATTTGGGTGACACACCTTCTTATTGACCTGTGCTCTGACGGGCATCTGAAATGACAAAGCTAGCAGGCTCCTTCCAAGAGGCTGTTTCTACAATTTCCAAGAGATGCAGGGCTTTTAGTTTGTTGGTTTTTAATGGTTATATGTACCTAAGAAACTTTTTCTATCATATGCCCTTGCTTATGAAAAGTTTTTCACTCCGTGAAATTGACTTCTTAAAGAATATTTTATAGTTTCAGTATACTGAGGGGGATCAGATACCTGGAAGGAAATTCCTGACTGCACGGCAAACACAAGGGATGTCACATCACTTACTTGACCTTTTTTCTTTAGGAACTCTAAAGACATTTTTAAGTCTTAACACCGAACTCAGAATTATACGCAGCAAAATGCAAATCAACCGTATCCACCTGCAGGCCCGAGAGAGCAGGTACAGGCTATGCAGCTCCCCTCCACCTTCTCCCCAAGCCCATCTGAGAGAAGGAGCTTATGGGAAAAACTGTCCAAGGGACACATAGTCCATGCCTGACTTTAAGGGCTGGAAATCCTGTTTTCAGGTCAAGCCATTTTGCTAGAAACCTGCATGCATGAGTCACACTGCTTAGCGACCTACAGAACCACTGCTCAGAGCTCCTCCTGAAGCTGTATCCTCAGCTCCTGTGAGCGCTGCTGTGCACTGGCTGCTAAACCATTCAGAGACGGCCCCTTATGGGGCTCTGTCTGCCCTACATAAAGCCCCACTGGAGACTGTGTTTTTAATGGTCGGAGCTGGATAAAGCTTTGTTTCTTTGTATAATTACTATACTTCCCTTTCCTCCCTAATGAGAACTAAATCACTGCTCTCATCCTGCTCTAAATACCAGAAAACACAGAACAAATAATGCCATTTTTATAATTATGCTGACCCTTTCAGTCTGTCGTACTTATATTCTGCCTTTCTTGGTCCTCAAGGACTATTTCGACTTTAATATTTTATTTTAGTACATATTTTTATTATAAGACCCATCTAAATAAACAAAAGAAGTCAGGTCTGTGCTCTTAAAGACATGAAACAACATTCTTTTGTATATGATAAACATAATCTTCACCAAAGTTTAAACACTTGTTTACAAATAAGAAGGATTAATAAAACATCCCATTATATCAAGTAGCTCAAGTGATATAAATAATTACCAAGAAGCTCAAGAGACAATAAGGACAGTTAAGTGTTTTTAATGTTCAATAATACTGCTCTTGGTCTCAGTAATCATTAATAATTCTAATAAGGTCCACACATGTATGGCAGAATAAAGACACCTTACTGGAGGCCCTCTGCATTCACAGGAGATCGATCCCACTGAATATGAAAATCCTATTCATCCCACAAAATAAAGACAGAGAGTAATGAGAACCAAGGGCAACCATGGGCACTAGGACCACAGAAGAAAATGAAACTGTTAGAACAGCTCTCATCTTCCTCCTCCTCCTCTCTCCTTCCCTGACAATTCCCAACCACTAAATCAACTCTCCCATCCATGTGGCTACTTTTTGATGGAGGTATAAATTGATTTAACTGTTTAAAGAAATATCTGTATCCTGGAACTTATAACTGCAATAAATTTTAAACTGGTGCAGGAGTAGTTAAGGGGTTTTTGAGTAAATGCTACTTGCCTGGTCCAACCTACAACTCCACTCTTTCTCCCAAAACAGGCAGACAGACAAAGGGGCTTCAAGGGAGTGCAGGGGTGCAATCAACATTGTTCAGAAATGTCGCTGCATGCTACCTACCACCCCTACCCCACCACAGTCAATGAACAAGAAAAGGTACTCAATAAGCACATGATGAATGAATCCACTGATTGACAATGGCTAAGAAGATGTACATAAATCTTCAGACACTAAAACAATAAATCTAAGACTTTAAAAGCAGTATCACAGATATACATCAAGAGACATTTTTTATTATACAGAAAACAAATTACTTTAAGAAAAGAAAATAACAAATTACCTTTATACAGCCATCAAAAATATCGGTTCTCCAAGAGAGGCCAACTTTTCCGATAAGAGGCAGGTGTTCTGTGTTATTTTTAAAACTTATAACAATGAGCTTTGCATATCCATTTTCAATGTATCCTGAAAAGATTTGAGATTTTTTAAATTACTATATACCACCGCAGGACACCAAATCAAGATTCTTCAGGTTTGCCATTCCATAAAGGATGCCTCTCCACAGCTAAGTACTAGATTCAGTGATGGAGGAAAACAGTGGCATAGCTAATTCAAACGTCTGGCTTGAGGCCAAGGCAGTGTACCTGCTTTCCAGAGACACAGAAATGCGTGTGTCCTCACTCGGGAAAAGTGATCTCAAAGGTGAGTCAGGGGGAGCTGCCTGGGGTGAACCTGGATATTCACACTGTCACTGATGGAGAGTCTGCTCAGGAGGCAAAGGTTCTTCGGATTTGATGAAGCTAACAGCAGTGCAAACAGAAAACCAGAAGTGTGGAACTTAAGAAAGCAGATGCCAGAAATGGTCCAGAAAGGACAGCAAATGTGAGGGAGCAAGGAGAGAGATGTCCAGAGAAATGAGGAGTTTGAGAGCCAGTGAATATGGAAGAGATAAGGGAAAAAGTCCAGCACACATAAAACAAACAAACGTCTTTGCACGTACTTATAAGTCGAAATCCTTGCCATGCTTACCAAAAGCTAAGACCAGAGGCCCTGCCCCTCCTCTGACTAGCTCAAAGCTGATTAACAGCAGCCTCCCCATGACTAAGGGCCGTCACAACCCAGGCGCATTCACGTTCCACTTTCAAGGCACTCATGGTAGGGGTGCCTTCACATGACCACGAGCTTCACATGACCAGTGACCATCACGCATAACAGCATATAGCACCTTCACTCAAGACTTCTTCAGAGAGAGACACCCGAACAAAGGTAAGATCTCAGTTACAGTGCAAAGTGGAAAGAAGAGCGAAAAGAGCAAATGCTCTTTCACTCTACATTGGTTATTCCACGGGACAAAATAAAACCAAAGCTAAGTTGCCTTGGGAGCCAAAGCCCTATTCTAGAAATTCTACACAGTGTTCTCACTTAAGTGTAGCCAAAAGGTGAAATGCTTCACCAGTGGCCTCTTCTGTGACACAATAACAGGCTCTAAGTGAGAGGTCCTGTTAGAGGCAGGGCATTGCCACCCTGCAGGAGGGTGCTGTGAGCCCTTTTGTATGGAGGACAGAGGCAGCCCATATCTTCTCCATGGCTACTGGGTAATTAACAAGCACTGTGCAGCTTCTCTCCTCCGCTCCCCAGGTGTAGGAGTGAATGCCAAATGACACTGACCCTTCCCAGGCAACAGCTCTACTGTCACCTCAGCAGGGCTCAATGGAAGCAGGGAGGAAATCTGTGGAAAGCAAAGCCTCAGAGGAGGCACAGTAATGACATTCTGAATGGACCAGATGTGGCTCGGCTCTGCTCTATATTACTGCACAGCCATGTGCAAAATCGAGAGAGACCTCTGACTGGCTGGCATGTGTGCTGGCAGCCGGACGGTGTCATACAGAAAACCAGGAGTTCATTTTCCATGTGGCTTGTCCTCAGGACACTGCAGAAAATGGACCCATAAGTACAACAGCCAATAACATTTCACTGGCAATTGTCTGAGCTAATAAACATGAAATCGCTGTAGGAAGCAAGGACGCAGTTACTTTGCTGCCATCAGATATTCTCCCACTTTAAAACAACCATCACATTTGCAGTATCTTAAAAGGTCAGAGCTCCTTCCACCAACTCTCTCTACCTATAAAAGAAAAAGGTTAATCTCTTCCTACATTTAAAAAATCTGCACATAGAATGTATGTGTGAAAAAGTGTGTGTATATATAATAGGTAATATTTTTGAGTACTTATTGCACACCAAGCATGGTACTAAGCACTTTATGTATAGTAGCTTAAAAGACTACTTTAAAAGAATACCTTAAAGTAATACTATTAATCAGGTATTACAGTTTTCTGAATTCACAGGTGAGAAAACTACACACAGGAAGGTTAATAGTACCTTGTCTAAGGTCATACCACTGGTAAGTGGCAAAGACATGATTCAAACCTTGTTCTGTGTCTAGAGCTCATGTTATAATAGATTAAAACATACACAAAAAGGAGAAAATATAATCACCAATTAGTTTAAATACTAGCTGAGAATTTATAATGTAGATTTAAATTCTTATGAAGCTTCGCTTTCATATTACTGCCACTAGAGAAAAATCTGTAAGTTAGCAGACAAGAAACATTGGGGAATCATTTACGGCTCACCAAAATTTTCAGTAATTTCTCTGTTTGTGAGCCCCACAGTCACTATCTCCCACTTCAACCTTCCTATAACTAAGTCGTTAGTGACCTGGGTTCCTTTGCTGTGAGCCAACATGTGCCTATTGAATTCCTGTGTTGCTTAAACTATTCAGAATAAATTCTGTTGTTGGAGACTCTAATCTTAACCTACCAATGTAAAGAAATACAATTCAAGGCTCACCATTCTTGGTTCCAGTGACATTCACTTATAAGCATGGCCTCACAAAGACCTCATTCCAAACCCTGCCCAGCCATTTACTAGCTGTGTCACCTTGGTCAATTTTACTCCAAGCTGAGTACAATAGGGATAAAAAAAGAGAGTACTTTATACTTTGTGATGATTAATGGAACTAATAACATATCTTAACATTACAGGGTAGATTATTATATATGCCAGGCTAAATGTGCTAAACACCTTACATGCATTATCTCAACAATAATACTCCATCTAAAGAGCCAAACCTACTGCCAGGCAGAAATTAGAGATGTACTATGTTCATGGACTGTAAGACTCAATACTGTTAAGGCATCCATTTACCCAAATTGATCTATAGATTTAATGCAATCCCAATCATAATCCCAGCAGGCATTTTAATAATTTATAAATAATCAGTATAAACAAATAAATAATATTTGACAAGCTGATTCTAAAGTTCATATGGAAATCATAAGGACCTAAAATAGCCACACATTCTTGAAAAGTTGACTTCAAGACTTACAAACAGCAAGCAACACAGTGTGGTATTGCTATAAAGATTAACAGAATAGAATACGTGGGTCCAGAAATAGACCAATACTTTCACAATTGATTTTTGACAAAGACATCAAAATAATTCAATGAGAAAAGAAAGTCTTTTCACAAATGGTGCAAAAAACAACTTGCTGTCCATATGGGAAAAAAGAATGAAGCTCAACCCTTCCCTCACACTTTACATGAAAATTAATTAGGCAGGGATCACTGACCTAAATGTAAAAGCTAAAACACTAATACAGCTGGAAGAAAAGAAAGAATATCTCCATAACCTGGGGTAGGAAAAGATTTTTAAGACAGAAAGAAGAAAACAATAAACCATAAAATAAAAAACTGATAATGAGAGACTCCTTATCATTAAAAAATACCATTAAGAAAATGAATAAACAAGACATAGACTGGGAAAAAATATTTGCAAAATATTCATCTGAAAAAGGACTGGTATCCAGAATACACAAAGAACTCCTATATTGAGGAATAAAGAGACAACTCATTTTTTTCAAAAAGGCAAAATGATTAAGAGGTACTTCAAAAAGAAGATATGCAAATGGCCAATAAGCACATGAAAAAGTGCTTAACATTATTGGCCATTAAATAAATACACATCAAAATCAAGATGAAATACTACCACACACTAGAATGGCTAAAATCTAAGACTTACAACATGAAATGTTGGCCAAGATATGGAGCAATCAGAACACTCATACACTGCTGACAGGACTGTAAAATGGTACAACCTCTCTAAAAAAATTGGGGGTAACTTCTTTTACATAAAAAAAATTTGGCCATTTTTAATACATAAAGCTAGCCTAAGACCCAACAATTCCAGTCCATGGTATTTAGCCAAGAGAACAGAAAACATATGTCCACAAAAATGACCTTCACAAGAATTCTATGGCAGCTTTATTCATAATAGCCCAAAACAGAAAACAACCCAAATTTCCTGTCCATCGACAAGATGAGCAAATTGTGGCATACTCACTCAATGGAATACTATTCATCAATAAATAGGAATGACTATCAATACTTGCAAGAGTATTGATGAAACTCAAAGACATTTTGCAAAAAGAAAGAATCTGGAAACAAAAGAGTACATCCCATATGATCCCATTTATATGAGTTCTAGAACAAGAGAAACTAATCTATGGTGAGAAAAATCAGAAAAATATACGTGGGAGTTCTTGTACTATTGTAATTTTTTCTAAGCTGGAAATTATATCAAAATAAAAAGGTTACAGAAAAAGCAGCACTCAATAAAGGTTAGCTGTTAACAAACAGCTGTATCAACCTTCCTCCGAAGGCCCCTTCTGCTCATTGCTCCGGCTGCTGTTTTCTTCCAACCTGTAACTCTGGGCATGCCCCATAGCTGTGTGTCCTCAGATCTTCCTCAGCTTCCCCTATGCCCTAAAACTTCAACATTCACCTCCACGCTGTGCTGATGGCACCCTTCTACCTATACTAATCTCTTCCTTTTCTAAACCCTTACTGCACACACTTGAACATTTAATTTTATTGGAGTGTTTCTACATGTTAGATCTATTTCCTCAAATAACCTACAGTTTTTGGGAATAAAGGTCATGTCTTCTATAGTATATTAATGGCACTAATAGCATTTCTCATTTGTCATGATTAGAGTTCATTTTTTGCCCTACAAACAGAACATAGAAAAGGTGGGAAGTAAAGACTATAGAGAGGAGAGATTATTGGTTGATTGGTTGATTGGCTGATTGAATGATTTTCCTAAGGCAAAGAGAAGGCAGGCAACCAGAAGCGGGAAGAGGGCTTAAATTATATTAGAACTACCTGAGGCAGGAAAAACAAAACACAGGCTAACTAAACAGACAAACTTGATAAGCAGACTGAATGAGAGAGGACCCTAGATCACCATCTGAGAGGCCAGCTTGGTAACAGACAAGTAAGTGGAACAGACGTCAGTAAGCAACTCTCAGGTTCTTGTGTAAATCTTGGGTAAAGAGGTAGGGAGAGCCTACAAACTCAAAAACATTTGCCACAGAATATTAACAATTTAAAGCTTCAGAAAC